TGAACATGGTGTTTCCCTCCATTTTTAGGGAGCCCGTGGTGAGCCCGAATCTGCTGGTGCCATGGGACTTGCTGGAGCCCCTGGAGCCGCTGGACCCTCTGGACCCGCTGGTAGACCTGGAAACCGTGGCGAGGCTGTAAGTACTTCATCAAATTTCATCAAATCGCATTGCCAGTAATCTATTGATTGTTTGATTCATCTCCTTTTTTTTAATCTTGTAATTTTCCTTAGGGCCCATCTGGTTCCGTTGGAGCTGTTGGACCCGCTGGCTCCAGAGGTGCCCCTGTAAGTACAGGGAAAAAAAGATAATCATATATTTGCAGAATGGTCTCCACTGATTCTGACACTTCTGTGTTCCTGTACTTGTGTGTCATAGGGACCCGCTGGAGCCCGTGGTGAGAAGGGAGTTGCTGGAGAGAGAGGAGAGAGAGGCATGAAGGGTCTGCGTGGACATCCTGGTCTCCAGGGAATGCCTGGACCTTCTGTGAGTGATGCCTTCAAATGATGAGCTCACATAAAACCTGTCAGTACAATGTCAGCAATTTGCTCCCTGTCTTTTCAGGGACCTTCTGGTGACACTGGAGCTGCTGGACCTTCCGGAGCTTCTGGACCCCGAGTGAGTGGCTAATTTCTAATTTTCTACATTTAACCAATATAGGAAAAAAACTTTAGGACAATTCTTGATAGCAGGCTGTGGCAACTATATGGCTGGCTAGCTAAATTAGCGCTGAGTTTCTCGCTGCTCTGTAGTGTTGCACTCCTCCAACAGGAGTTGGATGAAATGTTTGGAAACCTTATCTACCAATTTGAATATCTAGCCATTTCCATTGTATTACTGCCACCTTCAGGGTTATTTTCAGACTGCATCATCTTGATCATTTTTTGAAAATCTTGATTACTAATAAAGCCTTAAACCAAAATCTCCATATTATATTATAAAAGACATTTGGTCGACATTGGCTGCAGTTGTATGTAAAAAGAATGTTATATTAGTCACACCCTGCAACATCATATCATGGATTATCTCTTGCTTTAGGGACCTGCTGGACCCCACGGACCTCCTGGTAAGGATGGAAGATCTGGCTCCCATGGAACCATTGGTGCCCCTGGTGCTCGTGGACCTCCCGGATATGTTGGACCTGCTGTAAGCACATTTACAATATTTTTCCATTTGTTGTCTCTATCTTAATTTCCAGATTTACACTTCAGATAAACTGTGTCCTGTACACCTTGTCAGTGTGACTCTAGCCGCGGTACTAAGAGCTCAGTAAAATATCTGATCCAGTATTGGTCTGTAAAGTCTAAAGTCTTCCAATAATTCAACTTTGTGTCCATCTCAGGGTCCCGCTGGTGCTCCCGGTCTGCCTGGACCCCCTGGCCCCTCTGGTGGCGGATATGATGTCTCTGGCTATGATGAGTACAGAGCCGATCAGCCTGCCCTGAGAGCCAAGGACTACGAGGTTGATGCCACCATCAAGTCCCTCAACACTCAGATCGATAACCTGCTCACCCCTGAGGGATCCAGAAAGAACCCAGCCCGTACCTGCCGTGACATCAAGCTCAGCCACCCTGACTGGAGCAGTGGTAAGCTGATATTGGAACCTATAAAATCTTTTAATTCAAGTTTCTCTTAAAGATCCACATTTAATAGTACCATCTTCTCATTCTGCGTAGGTTTCTACTACATTGACCCCAACCAGGGCTGCATCAATGACGCTATCAAAGTTTTCTGCAACTTCGACACCCGCGAGACCTGCATCCATGCCCACCCTGAGAGCATTGCCCGCAAGAACTGGTTCAGAAGCTCTGAGGGCAAGAAACACGTCTGGTTCGGCGAGACCATCAACGGCGGTACCGAGGTGAGCGTCAGGAGTTTTAGCACGGCAATGAAAATGCATTCTGTGTTCAGGTACAGTATTTTTGATCAACTCTGACTGTGTTCCTCTGATTTACTTGTAGTTCACCTACAACGACGAGACCCTCAGCCCACAGAGCATGGCTACTCAGCTGGCTTTCATGCGCCTGCTGTCCAACCAGGCCAGCCAGAACATCACCTACCACTGCAAGAACAGCGTTGCCTACATGGAAGATGAGAGCGGTAACCTGAAGAAGGCTGTGGTGCTCCAGGGCTCCAATGATGTGGAGCTGAGGGCCGAGGGCAACAGCCGCTTCACCTTCACCGTGCTGGAGGACGGCTGCACTGTGAGTAGCTCTTTGCTTCTACATTCTAGTGTTAAGCAGTCTGTCACAGCTCCGACCAAGTTCTTCCAGGGCCAAATAGCACTATTCTAAAACTCTCCTTTTCCCCTTTACTACCTCTGCAGAGACACACTGGTGAATGGAGCAAGACAGTCATTGAGTACAGAACAAATAAACCATCTCGCCTGCCCATCCTCGACATTGCACCTTTGGACATTGGTGGCGCTGAACAGGAGTTTGGTTTGGACATTGGCCCAGTCTGTTTCAAATAAATAGACTCATGATAAATTAACACCCCAAAGAGAGAAAGAACGAAAAAAAAACAAAATCTCTGCCCTTCTTTCTGTGTTGTTTTTTTTATACTGAATGCTGATTTCTCCCTGCACATCCACTTGCTTAAGATGGGCAACTATCAGAGAGGACTAAACGGACTGAACGGAGCGTTTGTGCAATGCAAATTAATACAGCAGCCCAAAGGGACGCGGGAAAACACCTTGTTGTGGGACATCATGTCATCCTTTTGTAAAAAATAAAAGAAGTGTAATAAAAACGCTGAAAGTATGCATCACTTTGTGGTCTTTGTATATCTTCCAAAGAGGAGGTTTAAAACCACAATTTCCATGAAAAAAGGTTTAAACTACCTCATGCCTGTACCGAAAGAAAATACTATTGACAAAACTTGGGTCCACAACTGAGATGTTAAGACTTCAAATGCTTCAAGCTATGTCCCATTCTGGAAGGTGCTCAGTTACTTGAAGCAGAGATCTTTGGTGCTAACATGCAGCTTTGGAGCGAAACCACTTTTTACTGTATTACTTTGTATTGACGTCTGTGGAGTCTCTCATTGGTCCCCTGATACTCCCCCACTTTAAGCAGGTGGAATTTTCCTAAATCTAATGTCTGGTTTTTGTTTTGGTCTCTTTTTTGTTTTGTTTAGACTCTATTTGTCCAGGCTTTTAAACTCTTCAAATCCCACAGCCAGTGTTCATACTGACAGCACACACTTCATCCAATTCTGAAAAAAGGTTTTTAGTCGGCCTCTCTCTTTCTCTCTTTCTCCCAAAACGTGACACCACAAAGTCTATTGTACCTATTTTGTATATGTGAGATGTTTAAATAAATTGTGAAAAGTTCTGAAATAAAGCATGTCCAATGTTCCAAAACATACAACCCGGTGACTTTAGTGCTTTCATGTTCAAAAGACACCGTCAAGGGTGTGTCACTGCATTTTGGTTCTAGTTTGGCTGATGATTGATGATGTGGTCATTGACTTCAACATCCTCCAAATGTAGAAAGCACAACCTTATCTCGATTTATCCCCTCCCACTCCCCCCTTTATCTTGCCTTTCAACAGTACATCTAATTTTAATGTACAGTACATTTCTGTTTACACTGTCCATGCCAATGTGTGATTACTAACGTGCATTGTTTCTTGTAAATATGCATCCTCTCATGTTGCTTTTTTTTCTTGCATAAAACAGCTTTTGCATCCAAATAAATTTCTGTGGTTTGGATTAAGGCTTGGATTGCAGTGATGCATGAACACAGACATATGAGGAAATGAGGTGTAATTGCAGGAGTTTGTTGATAATTTGTGCAGTGTGGAGAATAAGTGTGTGAAGCCTAAATTGTAGGCGTGTGATCCTGATAATTTTTGACAGCTTAGTTAGTTAGTTAGAGTTAGTTTGTACATGGTTGTAGTGAGACCTTCTATAAGGTGTATGGCTTGAAGATAGGAGGCTGAATATGAGAAGGTAAAAGATTAATCATTTTATTGATAAGTACCAGTGATGGACAGGAGATGATGTGGACATTTGCTTAGGGGGTAGGTGGATAAAACCACAGGAGAGTGAAGAAACACACAGGAAAAGATCGATGGACGTGATAAAGATCAGGATGAAGATGTTTGATCAGCGAAGTGACAAATGAGAAATGACGATGATGATGATCCTTCATCATAACCACCAATCCCGCTGTTTTCCGTACGTAGTCACGCCACAAAGACGCAGCAGACGTCAAACACCGAAAATGTTTGCCCAAGCTCTAAGAGTCACAGGTGGTAGTTATTTCTAATTTGCAACTCGACCCAGTCCGAACCAATGGCTGAGATGGAAAGGTGAGTGATTTTTAGATTTTTTTCCCCTGCTCTTGGTATTTTGACCATATTAATTCATTTTTGCTTTAATTATTAAATGTATTGTTTTATTATTCATGATCATTTTAGAAGTTATCCATGGTTAAAGAGCTTTGTTTTATTTATCTAATGTCTGTGGTGCCCAGACAGTTTGCTGCCCAGAGGGACCACTTGAATTCCAGCTACAGCTTCCAACGTGGACGTGCAGGACTCTTGAAGTTGTGTGTATACCTTGCTTTTGTACCATTTGACTATTGTACTTTTGTTAATGTATATTTGTGTGATTTTTGCTTGAGAACTGAGCATTGCTGCGGGCGCCCCGTTGTTCTACTGGTGGTGGGCAGCATCTGTAGCCACTAGGCGGCACCAAAGCATCATTTATTTTTATTTATGGTCTTGCAGCTCTTCATAGTGTTTGATGCTTTAAACCTCAGAGGTTGTTAAACCATTTTCACTAACTGAGACACGTGATATGTTTAAAAACAACATACATAGACATATGTTCAATATCAGTGCCACCAACCGGGTTTGAGCATTAAACTCCCGGGCTGAAAAAGGGGCTCACTCCGGCATATATATATATACATATACATATATATATATATATATATATAAATATATACACACACATATATATATACATAGGTATATATATATATACACAATATATATATTTTCACCAATGAGCTTATTTGTTACAGTCGTCAAAGCACGCTCTTTCTATCAAAGAAAAAGTTCTAAGAGACTAAACCAACTCAAAAAAAGAAAAGAAAAAAAGGATGTGAGTCTCAGCGGTCAACCGTAGGGGGCGCG